ACTACATTTAGTAAGGGGACAAAAAGGATTCAAATTTCACACCAGCGACAGCCCCATAGGGGGAGGGGGGCTGGGACACCCCCTCCAAAGCGAATCCCAATAAAAACATACATTTATAATAGTTTCCCCCCCAAAGAAGACAAACAATAAAACAAGGGGAGAACCTGATTTTAACCCCCCCCCCCCCCCCCCCCCCCCCACCCCCCCACCCACCTCCCCATCTCTCACCCCAACCCCATCCCCCCCCCCCTCCCCCCGCCACCCCCCCCACGTCACACACCCCCCCTACTCACACAAGCACACACACCCCTACACACCCCCCCCAAACCAAACCATCCCCCACCCCCAACAATCAGTCACTCCGGTGCTACTACTAGGCAAACTAGAAAGCTGCCTAATGGTGCAGCCATGGTTCACTGGTTTCCCTACTCTCCGCAATGGTAAGATCTAAGGGGGTGCTGGGGATATGAGCTAAACTTCCCCCCAGATTTCAGTTGTGTGCCCTCCAAGGCTGGTCTTTCCATGGACGCTGTACTGGCCCACTGAGTGCCTTCCCCCCACCCGCCTCACTCACGTCTGGGCAAGGGGATGAGAGCAGCCTGGAGGACAGTGGAGCCTGCCAAAGGAAATGACTGAACAGGAGAAAAGCGTGAAAAGTGAAGCGAGCCCTACCATAAAGACACGATGGCAGGGGCGGACTGGCTGGGAGGATTTTATGCTGGAAGGATTAAGGAGGAGTTTTCGTTATTAGAGGAGGGATTTGGGGGAATTGAAAGTAAGAGGATTGTTGCTGGGAGGGGGGATTTGTACTAGAGAGGGAAGGGGGAATTTTTGTTAGGAGGGGGGATTTGTACTAGGAGAGGGAAGGGGGATTTTTGTGTTTAGGAGGGGGGGATTCGATCAGTTGGAGGGTTTTGCTAGGAGGCAAGGATGAGGGAGAATTTGGACTAGGAGAGAGGATGGGGGGTGCTAGGTGAGGGGATTGGGGGGTGGAGGGTTTGTGAGAGGAGGGATTTAGGGGGATTTGTGCTAGGAGGGGGATGGGGGAAGAGGATTTGTGATAGGAGGGGACTGGAAGTATAACTACAGGTGAGGTTTTATTAACTTTTAGCACTGGCACTGGGGGTCAGTGGGAAGATGGCCCTTACATTGTTGGTTAGTGGGAAGAATGTCCCTTACATTGGTGGTATCAGTGGGAAGAATTCCCCTTACATTGGTGGTTCTGGGAGAATGTCCCTTACATTGGTGGTCAGTCGTAAGAATGTCCCGCTTACATTGGTGGTCAGTCGGAAGAATGTCCCTTACATCTGGTGGTCCAGTGGGAAGAATGTCCCTTACATTGGTGATCAGTGGGAAGAATGTCACCTTACATTGGTGATCAGTGGGAAGATTGTCCCTTACATTCTTGATCACGTGGGAAGAATGTCCCTACATTGTTGCCAGTGGAGGAATTGCCCCGTAACTTGTGGCCAGTGGGGAATGCCCCTTATATGTCCAGTGGGGGAATGCCCCTTATTGTTGGCCAGTGGGGGAATGCCCCTATATTGGTTTGCCAGTGGTGGGGATTGCCCCCCTTATATATGGTGGCCGGGGTGG